GGATTAGAAGACCTCCAAAATACACTACAGCTCTTTCTGTTAATTTCTGTTAATATCTTCATCCTCATCATTTTTTTTTCATGTGTCTTAGAAGGGGAACCAAATATGAATAAACCAAGAGAAAGGTTAGTGAAAACCTAGCTTGTAAAAAGAACCAAATCATTTTGAAGAAATGACATAATTTCATGTTATGACTCCCCTTCAAAATTCAAACAAACAAAACAGAAAGCAGCCATTTCACAATTAAATCAAACGGAAAGAAGTCTTACAAGATAACGGCTGGCAGAAATCTCAATCCACAGCATAAATCTTTACTCTGTCCGGCAAACCAGTCCTGGCAATAAATCTCCAGTCTCAGAGCTTTTTGCTGTAACATCCTCACTCAATAAGTCACTTTGTTCCTGGCAAATTGTACCAGCCCAGCTGTGTCCTTTTATACTAATTGAGGCAAAGTGCTAATTTACTGACTCGCTCTCCTCCTTTGCTCCAGCTGATTTTGCCTTCTCAACCGTCTTCTGTTCCTTACATTTAACCACAAATTTTCCAAGTTCTCATCTCCACTAGAAGACTCTCTCAAAACTTCCCTGTCAGTCATTCCCGGCTGTTGATCAGATAAGGAACCAGAGGAGGTCAAAGGTCCTGACAATTCTAATACATCAGGTCTGTCGTCCTTTGTCACGTCCATCTCTTCATCCTGGTTACCAGTCCAATCACTGAGCCATGCCGGCTCATATTTTTCTGCCATGTCCTCCTCACTTGAACTCATATCAGTCACAGGAGCTGAATCCAAGCCCGGAGCCACAACAATTTCATTTGCTCCACATAATAAACAGCATAATTTAATTTAACAACCAGGTCTTCTGAACCGGTGTGAACTGACTGCATACCACCACTACAAATCTATATCTATATCTATATCTATATCTATATCTATATCTATATCTATCTATCTATCTATCTATCTATCTATCTATCTATCTATCTATCTATCTATCTATCTATCTATCTATCTATGAAATACCACTAATGCATCATCACAAAATCTCCACAACCATAAAGCGTACAAACTTGAAATTTGGCACGTATGTTCCTCTTAGCTTCTAGGTGCTCACTAAGAAAGGATTTTTTGAAATGACCATCAGATAATTAGTATTTTCTATATTATTATTAACATGTTCTATTCCCCCTCCCCATACGAAAAGAAATCTGTTTCAAATCCAAAACACAAGCAGAGGAGAGGACTTTCAGTTTTAGTTTCACAGCACCAAGCAGCTTTACTACATAACAGTTGCGCTAAGCCACACCCAGGCTCCTTGCAGTATCTTTCTTACTCACACAGCAAATACTGCTTCTGTTTCCAAACAGTCCTCAACACTCTCAAACACTGACAGGATGCTAATCAGATGAATACCGATGGATGCTGGTAGGCAGAGGAAGAATTCTCCCCCTTATTTTCCTTCCCAAAAACTAAGCCCGACCACATGGTTTTGTAGGAAAGCACAGGTATCGAGCTAGTAGATCATAATAAATAGATCTATATATCTAGGCAAGACAGACAATCAATATAGAACTAAGGAGAAACTTTCTGACAGTGAAAACAACTAAAGAGTGGAATGACTTTCCTCTAAGAAGTTGCGGGTGCTCCAACACTGGAGGTACTTAAGAAGAGATTAGACAGCCATCTGTCTGAAAAGGTAATCTCTTGCTTGAGTACGGGGTTGGACAAGAAGACCTTTAAAGTACCTTTCAACTGTTACTCTAAGGTTTCTGTTCACAAGCAGCGCTTGAATATAAATCTCTCCAAAAATAATATACTTCCCATGAACAGAGGCAGTTTCTTGGGAAACATGACACATGGTTTTCCCGCTGTTGATCTTCAGACAGAAGGTTCCATGCTTAAATAAATCTCTTCAGTATCTGTTGTCATATTTGCAAAGGTGTTTTCATTAGCAGGAAACTTCTGGATAGTTTTTTTTTTTATTCAGCTAAGACTTTGGATGTAAATCAAGAAATCGCTGGAGTCAATTAATGCACATATTTTAAAGTATACATCAGAGGGCAAAAAACTGATGTGTTGGTGGAATCTATTTTCTCAGGTTCATTTATTAAAAAGAAATCTCTCCCCCACCTTCCAGCTATCCCAAGGTGGAGTGCCCATCCTGAACAACCGCTGTTGTTTGTCATGCTTCATCTACATGTTGCACCAAAGTCATTTTCAACACATACATGCATGCTTGCACACACACACACACACACACACACACACACACACACACACTTGTGAGTAAATGCATGTCAGGATGGGGTGGAAAGAAACTCAAATTGAGTAAATCCAGATTTTTACAAAGATGAAAATGGGATAGAACAGTTCACTCCCCCCCCCCCATCTGCGATAACTAGTATCATTAGTAGGATGAGTGGGATGATAAGACACAAGGCACTTTCATTTTCCATGAAACTTCAATGGGTTGAATGAACAATCAGTTTGGAGTCATTGTGCACTATAAAGCCCCAAATCCAGCTTCCTGTAAATTTGATTGATCCTTACCTAGTGCCAATTTAGCTCGGACTATTATGGTAGTTTCTCAGATTCTTGTCTATTGGTGACAATAATAAACTCTCAATGCTTTGAACTCGAGTCCTGTTCCTGATTATCTGTGCTGACATTTTATAGAACAGAATAACAGAGTTGGAAGGGACACTGGAGATCTTCTAGCCCAACCCCTTGCTCAGGCAGGAAATACATGCGTGTTTGTGAGTATACACACACCCATTCATTGACACACCCATAATTTTATTGAAGAGTATGAAAACTATCATAAAGGGAGGGGAAAAAAGAGAAATTGAGATGTGTGAGAAAGGGAAAAAGAAAAAAAGAAAAAGAAAATTAATAAAAGAGATACAAAGAAGTAGCTTTTGACTTTCTGTGCAGCAACTGTAAATATCATTGAAAGTTTACAACTCTATAGTTACCTCTACTCTATTATGTCTAAACATTCAAAGCATAATTCACAAGTTCATCCCTTTTGTTTCCCTCAAAAGCAGTTTTCCATGTGAGGACCAGTGGTGAAATGCTACCGATTCAGACCGGTTCACACGAACCGCTAGTAAAAAAAGCTCAAATAATCAACTGAGAGGAGAAAGAAGAGAAAAGCTCAGGATCAGCCCTCCCATCCACCCCTGCGCTTTTCTGTTCTTTGTCCTCTCAGATGATTGGAACAGCAGAGACTCAGTTGGTATTTGAAAAGCTGTACTTGCACGATCACTAAACCAGTAGAGAAACTGGTAAGAATCCCACCGCTGGTGAGGACCCAGCCTGAATGACCTATATAACAAGAGTCTTCTGCACAGAGAGGTGGAATGCCTTTGTAAATCAAACATTGTACACAAGAATGCCATTTTGACTGAGTTTATTTTAATATTAACGTTCTGGATCGATTAATTTTCAGACATCTCCTTGGTTTGTTGGCTGTGTGAAGACTAAGTAAATTAAATAGAATGAGATAAACAAATCGTTAGAATTCCAGAAGTTACCCCAATTAAATCATGCATCTTGAGCCAAACTTCCAAAACATCAAAAGGATTTATTGGGAATTAACATGTCCGGCACTGCCTGGGTGTAACCGACTCGGAGACACATAATTCATTGTCGACCTTGACCTTGGTTTTTCCCCACCCGCCGGATGTATTGTAATTCATATTCTCCAATGAGACACATCCATAGCCAAGAGTCATCAATCATGTTCTCCAGTTAGAATTTTGCACAGCAGAAACTTCAGTCCCCTAGTTACTATTTTTGAAAACATTTATGGAATGTACTTTCGATTTCCAAGCTGCCGCACTGCTCTTTCAAACGCCTTTCTGCCCTCCCTTTCTGTTGGAAACTGTAAAAGGACCATAGCAATATTTTATGAGTTGACACAAATATTCCAAGTTAACCTTGAATAGTGATGATTTACCTAGGCATATCATGCAGTTTCCTCGGTATGGTACAAAAGTTTATTTGCACTCCATTTTTCCTGATATCTTTTTGGTTTCTGAATCTATCCTAGCTATATGGTCCCTCTCAGTACTTAACCAAAACCCACTTTTGTGTAGCTTTTTAGATATACTAAGGTCAGTTAGATGGAACTTATGTTCATCTGAAAACAAGCTGGTACTTGAACTTCTTTTCAATAACTTCTTATAAATCACGACACTTTAAAAATAACAATTAAAGCCACGATTCTTGTGCATCTTGTCTACTGACAGCTTGCTGGTAGGTGGTGATTTTGATTGATTGATTGGCTGGGCTAAATAGTTGCAATAGACAAACAAACTGTTGTTTACAAAAAATAAAACAAACATTCACAACTAGTAAATAAACTAAGCAAGCAAGCAAGCAAGAAGTAATAGAATTAATAGAATTAATAGAATCTGTAGGTTAATGAAAAAGCATGCTGTGCAATGGTTAGAATGCATGATTGCAGGTTCACTTTGCCCACTGCTGGGCAGAGACTGCCACATTTAGTGCCTGGGAATTTGGGAGGTGGGATTTCATAGTGAGGTAGAAGTTTGGACACAAAAACATTCTTCTCAGAGGGTCAAGGACATATTAGAACAAACAAACTTAGAACTAAGGAGAAATTTCCCGACAGTTAGAACAATTAATCAGTGGAACAACTTGTCTCCAGAAGTTGTGAATGCTCCAACATTGGCAGTTTTTAAGAAGAGATTGGACAACCATTTGTCTGAAGTAGTGTAGGGTTTCCTGCCTAGGCAGCGGGTTGGACTAGAAGACCTCCAAGGTCCCTTCCAATTCTGTTATTCTATTCTATTCTATTCTATTCTATTCTATTCTATTCTATTCTAGAGGCAAAGCAACAGAGCAAAGGAGAAGGACTTCTCTGAAAGAGGAATTAATATACTTTGGAGTAGTCATTCTGCTTTCCACATTTAGAGCACCCTTCCAGGTACATTTCAAGAACAGCCCTATGTAGAACGCATTGCAACAGTCAAGAACTGAAAGCAGGTATTATAGTCCATTTCTATAATGTTTTCAGATCAGCTATAATATTATTAAATTAACCACCTCTTGACTTGGAACTCAGAAGTAGACTGATGAAGTGAGTTGTAGCTCATAAAAGCTTATATCTTTTAATATAAAGCTTATACCTTTAAATAAAATTTGTTGGTCTGAAAAAAAAAACCCATCATATTTCTCCTATATAATGGTCTTGAACTGGGAACATCCTTAATCTGGAAGAGTCTGTCGGTTTCAGTTCAGCACAAAAGGTAACAGTTTGTATCAAAAGATTTTCTACTTTCCACTATACTTGAGTTCACAACTTCAGTCCACAAGAAAACACAATCACTTGAAAATGTTTGTACACCCTTGCGGACATGGCTAATACTTACATTTTTGTATATAATTTTCCTGGAGGTGTATTTTTCATGTTAGAATAGAGTAGAATGAATGAGCTGGAAGGGACATTGGAGGTCTTCTAGTCCAGCCCCCTGCTCAAGCAGGAGACCCTATACCATTTCAGATAAGTGACTGTCTAGACCCATGATGGTGAACCTATGGCACGCGTGCCACAGATGGCACGCAGAGTCATTTGTGCCGGCACCTGAGCTGCAGGCAAACTTACCTCACTGAGCATGCGCGTACCTCACAGTTGATTTTTGGCTGATTTGAGGCCTTTTCCGGTCTCCCAGAGGCTTGAAAAAAGCTTCTACAGGCCGAATAGGCCTGTTTCATCACTTCCTGTAATAACGGAAGTGATGGAACAGGCCTATTATTTGGCTTGCAAAGCCTGCAGAGGCTTTTTTCCAAGCTTCTGGGAGGCTGAAAAAGGCCTCAAACCAGCCAAAAATCAGCTGTAAGTTGCAGTGCAGGTAGGGGGGGGGGGGGGGGGCGGGGGGGGCGGGGGGGATTGCGCATACATCCTCAGGGTGTGTGCATGCGTTGCCTTCTGGGTGCTGGCACACGAGTGCAAGCGCGTCAACACAGGCACAGTTTTTGGCACAGGAGCTCAAAAAGATTAGCCACCTCTGTTCTAGACTGTTCTTACACACACCCAGTGATGGAGCATCCACGATTTCTGGAGGCAAAGCTGTTCCACTGGTTAATTGTCCTCACTGTTATTAAGTTTCTCCTTAATTCCAGGTTGCTTGTCTCTTTGATTAGTTTCCAACCATTAATGTTAATTAGCTAAAATGCAATTTGTGTATAATTTATTCTAATTATATGTATTTGTGTGTGCATTATCTCCAATATATACATTTTTATATATTTCAAATTGAAAAAAACAGTGATGCCAAATTAAGTACATGAGAAATTTCAGTATACACATGTATGGAAGCATTATAGTAGTAAGCTATATTATTTGTAAAAGATTTAAAGTTATTTTTATTGGTCAAATGTATCATTTATTTCTAAATAACATTTTGGCTTGCTTTCATCATAAAATGGAACAATTTTTCCCACCTATCAGACTGATAAAGAGTTCATTTTTCAGCCAAGGTTTAATTTAAAAATGACAATAAAAAGAAACATAAAGAAAAGAATTTCCTTCTACAAATTCTCATTTCCCTTGCTCTGCATTCTCAGTCTGAATCCATTGTAATTTGTTCAATTTCATTATTAAACATGTTTCTAATACCTAGTGATATTAGCTTAAAGGGAGTCGACATGAAAATATTTTATTTCTTTTCTTTCAACAGCAAAGAAAATAGATAAATCTATCTGGATACTTAACTTCTTGATAGTTGCATTCACACAGTATGCAAGAACATGGAGCTTTTGAGTTTTCTCCTTATGAATTAAGCAAATAAGTAATCCTGCTTTTTTCTTTCCTGAATGGAAATGCTTTTATTTACCTGGAAGCACTCGTAATAGAAAGATCTATCATTTGTCAAGAATGTAGAAGATTGCCTGAGGGCGGAGCTGGCATTGCAACGATACGACATGCGATCTTGGAGGTCTGAGATCTCTGCCGATGTCTTTGCTCCTGGACGGTCCAAGTGGATCTAAACCGTCCCGAAGAGATGGTGAATGTAAAGAGCGCATCCTGTCGATCCCAGGGATATTGCAAAGTCCCTGGTAGATCCAGGAGAAGCTCTTTTTGCCAGTGGCAAAGAGGCAGCCATTAAAGCTGCTGAAGTTGGGACAGCTCCGAAACAAAAGAGAACGAAAGAGAAAGTGTGCCGGTTTGGTGAGAACTTTTCTTTATTTAAAGATTTGAGAGGACACGCTAAGGGAAAGAAAGAATTTGTAAAAGTTTTTTGACAGAAGTGAATAAGCGGCACTTTGAAACAGGAATGTCAAAGTAATATTTTTATTTTTTTTTCTTATTGCTGATGATCCTATATTTTGAAACTGGACTGGTTTTTTCCTTTTTTTTTTTTAATCTACTCTTTTCTTTCCCCTTTTTGATTTTATAATATATTAAGCCAGAGAATCCCTTTTAGTCTTTTTTTTTTAATACTTTCTTCCTTTTTTAACTAATTCTTATTATACTCTGCCAGAAAAGGAGGGGGAAAGTGAAAGCTAAAGAAACTTTGTAACACTGCCAACTAGAGGCTTGGAAATACTCTACTTTTCCTTTGACCAGACAAAGCTGAGAAAGAATTGAGACTTTTTTTCAAGGACACTGCTTGTTTGATAAGATAGAGGGAAGAGCATGGGAGAGTATTATTGCAGGTGCTCTTCTGGGTTTCTATCAACAACTGGAGTCTGGTGTTGAAACCTAGGAGGAAAAAAAGGTGATATGTTTTGGAGAAGAGAGTTATAATAAGAGCCTTGTATAATTAAACAAAGTGCAGTGTGTTCTTTTTACTTTTTCTAAGTTGTGCTATCCCTCTTCACTAGCTTTATTTTATTTCATTTTATTTTTTTTATTTTTTTGCAATAGCTATTTGGATCTTTGGCTTTGTTGGAGCTTGTCTTTGTTTTTCTTTTCTTTTTTCTTTGGTAGTCCAATATCTACGCCTGCTTTTTATCTTAAAGGGACAGCTTTAGTACTAATGTTTTCTTTTTTTTAAGGGAATAGCCTTTTTTTCTCCTTTCCTGGTATTTTTGTTTTTTCATCTACAGGCAATCTTGTAGATGGCATTTGATAATGTGAATTGGCAATTCATGTTATTACTGCTGGAACAGTTGGGCTTCACTAGAAAATTTATTCAAGCAATAGAAGCTATATACTATAAGCAAACGGCAAAGGTAATGACAGAGGGAGAACTGACAGACTCTATCAATATAAGAAAAGGAACAAGACAAGGGTGCCCACTATCACCTTTGTTGTTTGTGTTAACTCTGGAAGTGCTAAACAGAAATATTAGAGATGAAAAGAATATAAAAGGAATGCAAATCAAAAAGGAAGAATTTAAGCTGCAAGCATTTGCAGATGATCTGGTTTTCATCTTAGAAGACCCACTAGAAACGGCATCAAAATTGATAGAAAAGATGGAGACATCTGGAAAGATGGCTGGTTTGAAAATAAATAAAGATAAGACAAAGATTTTGACAAAGAATATGCTATTAAGACAAAAGGAAGAACTGGCAGACCTATTGAAAATTCAAGTCATTAATAAGATCAAGTACTTGGGGATGTATTTGACAGCAAGATGTAGTACATTAAAAGAGAATAATTATATTAAACTTAAACAGCAGATAGTGCTAGATTTGGTGAAATGGAAAAACTTACAACTGTCACTAATAGGGAGAATTTCAACAATCAAGATGAATATATTACCCAGAATTTTATATTTGTTTCAAACAATTCCAATTAGGCTTGGAAAAGATTACTTTGAAGATTTAAATAAAATTGTGTTGAAATATATATGGCAAGGTAAGAAAGTGAGAATAAAGTTAAAACTTTTTCAAGATGCTAGAATTAGAGGAGGATTTGGTTTGCCTAATTGGGAGTTGTATTATCAAGCTACAAATCTGATGTGGGTTAAGGAATGGATAACACTAAGAAATACTAGATTGTTGACATTAGAAGGAAATGATTTGTTGTTGGGGTGGCATGCTTTTATATGGTATACAGGAACTAAAACACAGGGGTATTTTAGAAGACATTATATACGGGAGTCTCTGTGGTTAAACTGAGAGAAGATTAAAAGACAATGTTATTTGAAAATTCCAGTCTGGCTATCGACTATTGAAGCATTTTCTTATCCTATAATATACAAAAAGAAGCAAACAGTTAGATATGGTGACATATTGAATGAAAAGGGTGAACTCAAAACTATACAAAAATTAGAGGAACAAGGTATAAAGATGAATTGGTTTTCATATGTGCAAATACATTCAAGATATGATAAAGGTTCTAAAATGGAAGGTTTCTGTGATAAACTGACTGATTTAGATAAGATTTTGACAGGCACTGATGAAAAGGTGATTAAAAAACTGTATGGATATTTATTAGAAATTAAATTAGAAGAAGAACAAGTTAAAGAAATTATGATTGCTTGGGGGAAGAATTTTGGATATGGGATTGATTTAGAGAAATGGCAAAAATTGTGGTCCCAAAATTATAAAATGACAATGTCAACAGCATATAAAGAAAATTTGTATAAGATGTTTTTACAGGTGGCATTTTCCCCCTACAAAAATAGCAAGAATGTTCAGGAACAAATCTGAAAAATGTTGGAAATGTCATCAGACACCTGGCTCATATTACCATATGTGGTGGACTTGTGCAGATGCTAAAAAATACTGGACTAAAATCCACATGTGGTTGGAAAAAATTACAAAAAAACATATAGACTTGAAACCAGAGATAGTTTTATTGGGAATTTTACCTGAAATATATAGTAAAGACTTGATATATCTGGTTGTAAATGTATTAACAGTGGCTAGGATTGTATTTGCCAAAAACTGGAAAAATGAGAAAATACCATCACAGGAGGAAATCATTAAGAAAATATTGGAATGTGCTGAAATGAGTAGATTGACATTTGAAATTAGAGAACAAGAGGATAAACAATTTTATAAAATCTGGGATCTATTCTATGAATGGTTAGACAATAAAATACAGTAATGAAATATGTAGACTCTTAGAAAATAATAAATATATAAAGATGTATTTCTTTCTTATTATATCTACAAAATGATTTTAGGATAGATTTGGGATGATAATATGAACTGTTATAAAACAGAGTAAATTATGATTATCTTGTAAAACATGAATGAATAAAAGTATAGTCAAATGATTGATTAATAACGATACTAAGGTATTTAATTTTTGATTGAGAATATGAGATTATATGCAATGTAATTGTAACTGAAGACTACGAAATGGAAGCACAAAACAATTTGTAAATCAACCGGCACACTGTATGTATACATATGGAAGATGGCTTGATGTTTTTATGTTGTTTTAATGTTTGTTTTTAAAAACCAATAAAAACTTAAATAAATAAAAAAAAGAATGTAGAAGATTGCCTGTTGACACACACAGACTAATCATTAGGTAAGGAAAAGAGAGAAGAAAATCCAGGCACCTGTTCTGCTGATATCACTTGTATTTTTTAAAAAATTTACTCTAAAGCCTTATGTGAATTAAGGCTAGAAATTCAAGTTGCACATAATAGCCTCTCCTCTCCTCTCCTCTCTCCTCTCCTCACCTCTCCCCTCCATTCCTCTCCTCTCCTCTCCCTCCCCTCCCCTCTCTTCTCTCCATTCCTTTCCTCTCCACTCCTCCCCTTTCTCCACTCCTCCTCACTCCTCTCCTCTCTCCACTCTTCTCCGCTCCTCTCTTCTCCTCTCTCTAATCCTCTCCTCTGACATTGTAAATATAGATCTCAAAAGTATCCCTTAAGCATCTTCTCATTAAGATCAGTGCAAAAACCTCAGACCCCTCTTGAAAATTACTAGAAAGAAGAATTGGAGGACATTCCTTACTGATGGTATGTGAGGGTCTTGTTTTGGTCATTTGATGACCAAGAGACACACTTTTAGAAATCATAGTGCTTCCATGATGCATCCCATTTTGTCATATGGAAATAAAAGTTAGATCTGGGAGGAGGAATAGCAAAGGAGTTGAATGCTGAGGGAATGGGTTGCTTGAGAAATGTGCAAGGTAAAGAAAGAAGACATGGGATGAAAAATAACAGAATACCAGAGTTGGAAGAGACCTTGTAGGTCATCCAGTACAACCCCTCTTTCCAAGCAGACCCTACACCATTTCTGACAAATGGCAATCCAGTCTCTTCTTGAAAGCTTCCAGTGATGAAACTCCCACAACTTTTGAAGGCAATGAATGAATGAATGGTGAATGACTATAGACTGAGTGATCATCTTAGGAGTAGACAGAAGTGATCTGGTCATATAGAAAGAAGACACAAAAGTGAATCACAAAACAAATTGAAAAGGAAGAGTGAATGGGTCAAGAGGAAGGGCAGGTAGGAGAAATCTGGGTTTAGATGGAACTGATGAGAGGTGCAGAAAAAAGAACTTTGTAGAACAAAATACATGTATGAACTAAAAGTTCCCCGTAACTTCCTATGGTTGTGAAAGTTGGACCTTAAAAAAAAAAACAAGTCTACTCACTTGAATTGGGGTGCTGGAGAAGGCTCCTACATATTATTTTGACAGCAAAGATGACCAGCATAACCCCAGACAAGACACTGAAAGGCAAAATCACAAAACTGCATCCCACTTATTTTGGTCATGCCATGCGGGGGAATTCACTGCTTAAAGCAAATATGTTTGGAAGAGTTAGTGGTAAAAGGAAACCAGGCTGTCAACGAACAGTGGCTGGATATCATCCAAGCTGACACCAACCAGAGCACAGAACAACTCAAAGAAGATGTGCAAGATTGGAAAGTGTGGAGAAACCTGGCCAATAGAATCGCCAAGAGTCCAGACATGACTGAATGTTTATCATCATCATCTATTCAAAGAAAGAATGGTTGCACTAGAAAGGTATAGAGAATTATAGTGGAAGATGTTGGCATAAGCTAGATTCTCTGGTATTTTTTTTCCCCTTACCATATGCCTTTAATTTATTTGGCAGTATTTCTTAGGAAGAATATTTCTTAGTCTTTTTCTGTACTTTGATACTATTAAAAGGGAATATCATGATGGATGTCATGCCCCATCATATAATATTTATATACTGTTGTTGCTATCTAGTAGTCAGAGGGACAAATACCAATTATATTGTTTGAAGCTGACCCAACCTCTTTACCCATTAGCTTTCACTCTCAAAAGAAGTGCATTCTGGGAAGCCAGTCTCCATTTTCCTTTGGCATTTTGGAGAAGGCAGAAATTGCAAAGAAGAATCCACCTTAATCTGTGGCACATGGTCACCCAAGGACAAACCCACATCCCATACACAGAGCATTGCTGGTGAGCTTTAGTTTATTTGTATTTATTAATTGTTGTGTTCAGCAGCAACTCAATACTGCCTATCTCGTAATTGGTTCTCATCGTATGTATCCCTATTTTCCCCAGTTTCACCATATCCTGTTCTTTCAATAAAGCATCCAGATCTATGTACACAATCTGTTTTATTGGAGGATAGATGGGTTTAGCTGCATATTGAGCTACAGATTAACATGTAGTGAGGACAGAACAATGGACATCTATGGATACATTAGGCATGTAGAAAAGCACGTTGAGAGTCTATACCTATTCAAAAGCTGATTTTGGGGTTGGAGTTTGTTATATGCACATACTAAAAACTTACTTATTGAATCCAGCTAACACAGAAATGTTAAACTATGAAAATTGAAGCATTCCGGACACATTTAAGTCCAGAGATCTTTGAGATACATCAAGCCAGATATCAAATTCCAGTCACTCTTTTCCTAACCAAAATCTTTGTAAAGCTATACTTATTAGAAATGTAAATTCTGGAGCTGAATGAATAAGCTTTTGGAAGATTGTTGGGACCTCATACTAAATTGCTATTCTAATCCACAGCAGAACATTTTAATAACAGTGATAAATGGCTCACAAAGAATTTTATTGCCAGGAAAATTATAATAAGTCCTGACCTGGATGATAGATTGAGAGATCATTTGTGTAAACACTTTGCAAGGTTGAAGCAAGCCTAGCTTAATAAGCTCAACTCAGAAGCTGAATTCTTGACCATTTGTCACTATATCGCTTGCAGACATCCCCCTTTGTTTACTAACTCCTCTACTTGCCATAGAATTATCTGGAAAAAAATATTAGGGAAACATTTTGTAGGGGATCTATTAATATTAGAAGGGGAGTACCTTAATTTTGTCATTGTCAGTGGGTAGGAGTTGAATGTATTTCTTAGAATAACTTTATTGTCCCTTTGAATGTACACTAATTGGCATACATTAAAATGAAATTTCATTGCATGCAGCTCTCAAAAGGTCACCACCTCCCATATACATGACAAAATGAATGAATGAATGAATGAATGAATAAATGAATGAATATGCATATACCCACATATATATTGTACGACACAGAGTAACATCAGTCTTGTTTGCATGTATATATGTCCATGGAGAGAAAAAATGAATCTTGCAACTTTACCAGATGGATGGCATAGGGAACAAAGCTGTTACAGAATCCAGTAGTCCTGCTACAAATACTTTGAAAACTCCTCCCAGAGGGGAGCAACAGAAACTGACCGTGAAGTGGGTGTGTGGGGCCTCTAATGATGCTTGGAGCTCTAAGCACATAGTGCTTATAAGCAGCATCCTGAATAATGGGAAGCGAGCTTCCTACAATCTTCTCGGTTGTCCTCACCACTCTCTGTAAGGACTTTCTATCTGAGGCACTGTAGCCACCAAACCAAACAGGGATGCAGTTTGTTAAAATGCTCTCAGTTGTGCCTCTCTAAAAAGTGGCCAGGACAGGAGAAAGATGTTCTCTCTTCATCTGAAAGCAGGAAATGGTTTGTACACTTTGCTAAGGATGACGTGTGGAGAGACCAGTTCAGATTGTTAGTTATCTGCACCTCCAAATACTTAATACCGTTGACCACCTCAACAGCTGCTTCCTTTTCATTTATCTCCTACTTACAATGTGAATGCAGATCATAGATATACTTTATTTATTGAGGAATTTGCAGTAATAGACCAAACACATATGCAGAAACACACTCATACATAAATAAAGATACAAATCCAGGCTAAAAGCACATTTACAACTGAAGCTAAACAAGTCTTTGTAATTATGAAACTCACTATTGTTAGGACACAAAATGTGGCTGCCTTCTTAGAG